TAGCACTGGAAAAACCCATAATAAAGTCCTGGTGCCCCAATCCATGGCTGACTGGTTTCACCTCCACCTTTCTTCTCTCTACTAAAGTACCAGGTGAAGTATGAGGCAAGGGAAGATTCGAGATAGACACTTTGAGCTCCACCTATCTACATATCTGCCTTCGCTTCCTCTTCTATACAAATATCCTCATCTCAGAAGGCTGCTGTGAGGGACAGGCAAGGTGACATATGCCAACCCTGTATCTGTCCAGTGGAAAAGTTTGTCACAAAAATTTTCAGGTACAGGAAAAAGTGTAGAATTAAAAGGAGTTCCCAGAAAAGAGTGTTTTTCATCAAATAGTAGTGGGGTAATCAGCCCTCAACGCAAAGAACACTTTCCTGAGCAAGGAATACTGCAGGCTCTGAGCAATGAATAGTGAAGGCTGAGATTAGTAACTACCCTTAGAACAAGACCTGGCTAGCAACCAAGCTGGCTGGTTGTTACCTGAATGCCAAACCCACAAGAGGCCACTACAGCTGAGGCTGGGCTATCATCTCCTTCATTTCCTGTCTTGAATTGACCTTTCACCCAAGACACACAGAATAATGCTGACTGGACATTGTTAGGGACTAAGTACAAAGCAGACAACTGCACAAGAGAGGCAGTTCAGTCTCCATGGTTTTATTAGGCCTTGATAAACAGGAGGTAGGGGCCCTGCTGACACCTCAGGGTCTAAGATGTGGAAGGTATGGTGGCTGAACTCACGAGAGAAAACAAGACGGTATAGGTGGAGACCATTTGTTGGGAATCAGGAGAGTTAACCTCCCTCTTGCTTCTGCCACTAGTTTGTATTATGGGTTCGTTTCAACCATATCTCTGCGTAGCAGTTTATATTGTAAAGGTGACTGGACTTCAGTTTCTTTACTCACAACTGTGAAGTCTAGATTAGACAACTCATAAACTTTTTCTAGCATTTATGTCTAAGTGACAACTCTGCCTTCCTTAGCCTTCCCTTTCCCTTCTGAGTTAGCTGTCTGTTACTGTGCACATTTCTACCAACGCTGCCTCCTTTGCTGCCCAGGATGGCTGGCAACCCCTCACCACAATCTAGCCACCATAAGATCATTATCTTCAGAATGTATTTTCTACCCTCTGGTTTATAACTCAATAGAGTCCAGGAACCTTGGAGTATCAAGATCTTAGGCATCTCAGCCCTCACTTCAGTCCTACTCTCCTCTTGTACCAATCAATCTCTCCTTAGGGCTCCAAAGTTCCTCCAAAGTTAGGTTTTCCTAACTACTTGGCAGGAAACCAGCATCAGGCTATGCTTATCTATCCTCTGGCTTATCCCTGGGTGGGGCAGAGAGAGGTGGTAGAGCTAAACAGGTCAGGAGAAAAGTGCTGACAGAAGCAAGCTCTGGTCTCATGAGATGAAGGGAGCGAGCAGTGCCAATCACTAGACCAAACTGAGAGTAGATCCTGAGAACAAGTAAAGTATAGGAGGCTCCTTTGAGATGCTACCCAGTTCTCCACGCCTTCCTTATTTCCTTATAAAGCAATTCTGACAGGAGTAGCTCTGTGACTTGCCAAAGACCACACAGGCTAGCCTTTGAACAGTCAACCCTAACACATGGGTCTTTGGGACTCCTCTTGCTGCTTTTTCCATTCATCTCTGTTGACCTCAGGAGTCTGAGGCCAGCAGATCCACTGTAGACTCTAAGAAACATGACCTTGGTGTCACTTAGGGAAAGAGTAGACTTGGAAGATGTTATGGTTATTGTCCCTCCCATCACATGGACCTCATTTCATGTGGTTTTATTTGCTCTTTCTCCAGCCCTTGCCACAAAATCTTGGAAAATCTAAAGATTGGTAAGGATCATTTCCCTTCAGGACTCTAAATAGATAACCATAGTGATTCTTGCTGGTCTAGAAAAGGTTAGTCAGGGAAAGGCTCAAAACCACCAAATTATGCCTGGTACCAGTGGCTCACATCTGTAATCCTAGCTACTCAAGGCTGAGATGTGAGGATCTCTGTTCAAAGCCAGCCTGGGCAGGGAAGTCCATGAGACTCTCATTTCCAATAAACTACTCAAAAAAGCCAGAAGTGGTGCTGTGGTTCAACTGGTAGAGCACTTACCTTGAGCAAAAGAAGCTCAGGCCCAGAGTTCAAGCCCCAGTACCAGCAAAACAAAACAAAAAAGCACCAAATTAGGGCCAGAGGCATATTTCAAACAGGTAGATTGCCTGTCTAGCAATCTAGAAGCCTTGAATTTGAACCCCAGTACTAGAAAATATGTATATCAAGTTAGCCTACTGGAAATCTAGCCTCTTTAGGCTAAGAAATTCATGGGAAATTCAAGGCATCATCTGAAAGTTTTTGATAATAAATAGTAGGGTCTGCTTCTGTTGGGACCTTTCAAAGATTAGTGTCTGGCAGATCATCTCAGCTTCAGAAGGAAGTAGGTCTGAGATGAAGCTTCAAGGAATTAATTATTTATGGTATATGACCCAGTTCCTGGGGTAAGACAGGCTGAGAAGAGAGTGGGCCAGGTTTTTTTTTGTGTTTTGTTGTTGTTGTTTTTATCACGGCAAGAAACTCAAACACTTTACAGGGTAGTAACCTTTGTTGCCAATGAGGATCCATTTATGAATTAAGTGGCAAAAAAATCTAAAAACTAGCCAAAGTCCACTCATTCAATGAGTATCACGCTTCTCTTATGTCCCAGGCCTTTCAGGAATTTACATAAATAAGGTCAGAGTTTAGTAGAGGGAAGATGATACCACTGATAAGTAGGAGGCCTGAGCAATATCCCAGCCCAGCCCTTAGACAGCTACATTACCCTGGGCAGGTTACAGCCTGTCTAAGGCAAATTCTTCATCTGGAAAATGGGGCTGGACTCACTTGATTGTGAAGATTAAATCATCTTTAGAAAATGCAAGATACAATGTGAACATGAGGTATAAACAATAATGATAGAACCTGACACATTTTCCCTGCCCTAGAGAAGTATATAATCTGGTATGTTCTGGGAAACCATCTAAGGTACCTATTTGGCAAACATCACATTCTCTGTAATTTGGGCAAATTGTATGTTTAAACTTGCCAATGGAGATGGGGCTGACAGTCCCTGTCTCCAGTCTGGGTGCCCAAGAAGTTCCAAGAAGGGGTGGTATTCACATTAGAGCTTACCTGGCCCTGGGTCAAGCCTCAACTGAATGAATGAGCCAGGAGAGGACCAAGATTCACTTGACATGTGGTAAATCAGCAACAGAACAAAACAAAATACAATTCATCTGCTCATAGTAGGAGTGGCCAGTCAGAACTACATATGTGTCCCTCCCCACATACATTTCAGACAACACTGAATTCACTGGTCACTGCTAACCCTTCTCTGAGGACATATTCTGAATGCTATTTCTGCAGGAAAAGTGGCAATTCTAAGATTTAGCAGACTAATCAAGCTGAGCTGTGCTTGAGTCTGCCAGACACTAAGAATCAAATTCGGAGCAGTTTTTCCCTAGGCCTTTTCCCTTTTTATTCTATTCCCACTTGGGATCTGAACCCACCAGGCTATTGATGTCCAGATATGCTTCCAACTGCCATCTAGCCTGGTCCCCTAATCCCTGGGCCTCTTGAAATAAACACTTATCCACCCTCCTGCAATGAAACAGAGCTCCTGCAAGGCTAACCCAGTTCATAGACCAAGGTGCTCCTGGGGAGAACATACAGGTTACATTTCTTTATCCCTCCAACTGAGGGGTATTCTGTAAGTTCTTTGCCTTCCAGAAAATGCAGGCTAGGAGCTCAAAACGTTTTTAGATTGCTGTATATAGAAGGGAAGCAGAGGAAGGAGAAGAGGAAGTCCAAGGCTGGTGATTCCAGTTAGTTCTACAACCTTGAGAAAGTCTCTTTAGGCCTGGTCTCAGTTTCCCTGTTTGGTAATGAGGGGCTTGCTCTAAATAACCTCTTTAATTACAAAGTCTGACATTACAGAAACCAGACTAGCCTGAGACACAGATGATCTGAGTCCTACTCAGATAACAGCCTCCAATAACAGCCTGTGGGCAAGTTATCTGACTGCTCAGAGCCCAGTCCACATGTCCATAAACCAAAGAGAGATTATACAACTGCCTATCCCAGGGTGTGAGGCTCCCATGAGGCACTGCTGTGATGAAGCTTCAAGGGTAATAAAGCCATGACTTCTTGAGTAAACAAACAGCTATTGACCATTTGCAACATGACAGGAACAATTGAGGGCTAGAGTGAGCTGCCAACTCAGGCAAGAAGGTCAGGGTGAAATGGTGCATGAAGATATCTTACTTCTGCTAGTGGTATATATGAGAGCACAAAGCATTATGGGAGCATGGCAATGGGAGCCTCTTGGCAGGAGCAGTATGTTCTGCAGATGGCAAACTGTTCCCAGCTAGGAGAAGGGGAACTAGGGTAGACAAGTGGGAAAAGAGTTAGAGGTCTGACTGGAGAGGCTGAAGGCCAGGAAGCAGGACTGTTAGACGAACTTAAGGAGGGTCTCTAGCAGCATTTCAGAGGACACAGCAAACAGGACAGTGAGAGGAACTGGGAGAACAGCAGGTAGGCCTTTCCATAGTCAACAAAGGAGACCATAAATAAGTCATCAATTTCTGTCTGCACCAGCCTTCTAGACACTAAGCCTCCAAGGGCTTAGGAGTCACAAAAAGGTTGTAAACAGGTTTCATCTGCTGACAATGGCTTGATTACATCGTCGTGTGTAAAGCCACACCCTACAGAAGCCACCTGGCCAGGCCCCTATTTGCACAGACCTGGACAGTCAAGAGGTTGAAATATTCTCAGAGACAGATGGGGATTTAAAGAGCTGAGTTGGTGGCCTCACTTGAAGGATGAAGAACAGAGATCCTGTCCTGCCACTTACCAACAGGGCCTTCGCCCCATACCCCACACCAAGTAAATGTCAATCTCAATCCTACCTCCTCTGACATGGGGTACTCATGATGAGCTACTCCTAGGTATGAAAGAGACCTACCATGTGACTTACTCGCTTGATTCTCAGGCATCACACAGGCTACAGTCTTCTCCCTCCAGGACACAGTCCGCATAGGTTGCCATGTTCCTATTAAAACAGAAGCCCAACAGTTAATGTCAGTTCTGTTATCCTTCATTACAATCCCTTATTTTCTCTTCTCCAAGAGGTTGCAGAGGGCTCTGATCATGGCTAGGTTTCCAAAATGAATTGTTTTGTGCCACTTTATCTCATAGACTTTACCCAGCAAGAGGAAATGGACAGGAAATCCCTCTGGGTGTCCCAGGTTTTGCAAAGTAAAGAATCACTGCAAAACCAATTCTATTGTCTGCTGCCAACTGAGCTCTACACTAAGACTTTGCTCTAGGAAAAATAACAATAAGTACCAGGATTTCTAAGTTTGAGACAGAATGAAAGTAAGTCAAACTGGTATAAAATATGTTAATGAGTCACCAATGTATAATCTGTCACAGTGCCTGAGGTGGAAAAGTCCAAAATGCTAAATAAAGTAAGAAGTTATAGGATTGGCCATCTGGTCTTAGCTGTTTGCTAAACAAATTATTTTGGCTTTCAGTGGCCACCCACATTTTTTGTTTATTCCCTATTGCTGCTGCAGAAAATGACTTTATACCTGTTTGTTATTTTCATTCTCCAGGAAAGCATCCATATTTTACTCTTGTGTATACAAACACATGTGTTTTCTCTAGCACACAACAACCGTGTTTACAGTGCTTGAGGTGGGATTGACTTGCTGTCCAGAATGCTCAGATCATAAATGGGGAAGACCTTGCTATCTACTAAGACTGGCCACATATAGAGGCAACTCCAATAGACTAGGCATGCTTTACCTCAGTGTCTCCTCATAGACATGAGAAGGAGGCTTGGAGAATAGATGCCACTTATCAAGGCCCCCTGGCATGGTAGGATTTTAGCACAGACCTGGTTGACACAGCTCTCAGGGTCCTTCTGTCCAAGCTGAGGTGTCCTAGACTTGAATGTCTAACACAGCTGGGATGGTCCGCTCACACTGAGAGGCTGGCAAGCTCTCAGAGCAGTCACCTGCTTAGAAGCTTCAATCCTGCCCAGCATCATCCCTATTACCATGCCCACAGCCCTGAGAGCCTGTGCTAGCTGACAAACAGGCTGGCCTGCCTCTGCTACATTTTATCAGCCTGAGTTGTAGACTCTGTGCAGCTGCTTCATGCCACAAATCAGACAGGATGAAATCTTCAAAGTGTCTGCCCTGCTTCTCAAGGGAAGTTTCCAGGAGCAGTAGGTAAGAGAGCTGGATTTTCTTTTCTTTGCTTTTTTTTTGGGGGGGGGTCCAGTCGTGGGGCCTGAACTCTGGGCCTCAGCTCTTCAGCTCAAAGCTAGCGCTCTACCACTTGAGCCACAGCACTACTTCCGGCTTTTTTCTTTTTGCTTATGTGGTGCTGAGGAATCGAACCCAGGGCCTCAGGCATGCAAGGCAAGCGCTCTACCACTGAGCCACCTTCCCAGCCCTGAGAGCTGGATTTTCTGATGCTGAACTCTACTGTCAGTCTAACCAGAGTCTGAGAAACCAGGAAATCACCTACAGCTCCACAATGGGCTTTTAAAGCTTCTGCTTGCATTGTCCCTATGGTGAGATGAAGGTAGGCCACACTATCAGGGCTTGATCATGGGGCAGATTTCCACAGAGGACTGAGCACACTGTGATCCAGACACTCAAAGGACCAACCAATGCACATCCTTTGTCTGACCAACAGCCAAACATGCTTTGCACACCTGTAACATATTTATTCAGAAAACACCAGAAACTCAGCACCTTGAGGGGCCTCCTCATCTATATAATGAGAAGCTTAAGATAACTGATGACCTCTCCACAGACCTTGACTTATACAGGCACCTACAAAACTAGTTATTGATTGTAAGGCCAGAAAGAAATAATCCATGTACTGGGCTATGCACCAGTGGTTAGCATGTGTGGCCCCAGTCCTTTCTCCCAGCAGTACTAGGCGGCAGTATACTATCACAGCACTGAGGAGGAAATGGAGATATGGCACAGTCAAGTGCAGGTCCTAAAGCTCAATTAGCACTAGCCATAGCAGTCCTGGGACTCAAAGGGGAGCCAGCCTGAGTCCAGGCCTATGCTTATTCCCTGACACAATGCCTCCCTTTGTCCTCAATCAGAATGAAGAAATACTGTCTCCCCCAGGAATGCCATTATAACAATTCCCTGCCAAGAGGGAGGTGTCTATTGCCATGTAGACTTCATATGAGGTGGAACAGAAATGGTTTACTGTGCTCTACATTGCCTCATGGTTTCCAAAAGACCATGAGAGGCCTGAGAGAAGAAAGTGTAGTACCTTCTTTTCTGACATTCTTCAAGCCTAGCTTCCTAGAGACAAGGTCTTCCCTGAGTGACTCATATCAAATAAGCAGGATTTGGCATTCCCTAGGCAGTCAATAAGTATTTAATAAATGAATAAATGAATGGATTACTGTGAGCTTATTCAGGAACCATTTGGTATGAGTTAGTGAGAAACATACTGAGGGCAGCTCAAAGCACGAAACTCATGCACATACTCAGTTGGTTTCTATGACTAGACTCTCCAAATACAAGACAAAGGCCTAGGGGCTGAGCAGAGCCTGCAAATTCACCTCCAGATAGCTTCTACCTGAGCAAGAGAAGTATCTGAACACAGGCTTCCCAGTAAAATAGTTCACAACTCAGAACCTGAAATCAAGGTCTGATTTCTTTCACATTACAGTAGTTGGCTGGCCCTGTCAGCCTCAGATTTTTGTCTAAAAATGAAAACAAGTTGGTATTCACTCTATAAGACCATCCTGAAGATTAAATAATATAATGCCATAAAGGACTTTTTGCCCAATGCACATTCTCAGTCCTCTGTCTGAGCTCCTTCTAGCAAAGTTACCTCAAAGAACTTAACCTCTCTCTGCTTCAGTTTCCTGGTGTGTAAAATTGGGTCAATTATGAAAATTAAATGGGTTAAGCAGGTAAATGACATAATAATGGCTGACACAAAGTAAGCTCTGGATAAAGGTGAGTTAATATTCTTTCTTTCAATGACAGATCCCACCCCATTTCTCACCCCCCAGCTAGAGAGGGGTGCAGGCCTCAAGGGAAGTTCCTCAGAGGCTCTTTACTGCTTGGCCACATTCACTGGTACAAAGGGTATGCATGCACTCCAACCTGGAAAGTCCTAGAAAAGTTCTTCTGGGTCAGGCAGAGTGCTGTGTGGGGTCAGCTGCCTGCAGCTGTGGACCACAGGACAGAGGCCTTTGGTCCAGGAAGGCTGGAGATCACTCATTCTTTTCCTGGGATTGGGTTTTTCAGTGCTTCCTATGACTCTGAGCCTCCCCTGAAATTCACTTTTGCACAAACTCATACAAGTTTGGCTCCTGGCCCTTGAAACCCAGAATCCTGACTAACAACAGCACTGAACAGATGGCTGCCTTATCACTACCAAATCTGCTCAGGAAGAAAAACCAGCTGTCTACCTTTAGTAAGACCCAAGCCGCCATGGTGGCAAAGCAAATAAGTGAAGGTGTCTGCAAGTAGTCATGATAGGGAAACTACTGCAGTTTGGACCACCACCCTGGCAGAGGAAGTTGCTGGAACCCAGAATAAGCAGTCCAGTCCTGCCATCCCTGCTTGGGTCCCTATCTCAAACTAGGCCCCTTTGCCAAGATCATTAAAAAAAGGGGAAAAGGAGAGAGAAGAAGTTGGAACTTTCATCGACCTCAAAGTAGTGCAGAAAAAAATCCAATTAGCTACTCATTTTAGAGGAAGAATGGAAAAAAAGAGGGAAAGAGGAAGGGGAAGACAGTTGCCTTGCTAGAGCACTTAAATGTACTGCACCCTGAGGGTGAGACTCTTGCATTCCTATGACCTTACTTACCCTTCAGCACACCCTGAAGAGTAGAGATAATCTGGCCCATTTTCCAGGTGAAGTAGCTGAGGCTCAGAGAGATCAATAACTAACTCCCTCAGATCCCACCACTATCATTTCATGTCCCTTCTACCCATTGTACTCACCTCACTCTAATTCCTGAAGGTCCTAGCTGTCACCCCAAAAAGGATGATGTCTAGCTGCTCCTTGTTCCTTACCAACTATCAGAAAAAGGGTATCTTTCCAGAGAAAATTGGACAGGATAGGCAACATCCTGTGCATCTCTGAGCACAGTTCCCTCATCTTAAGAGCTCCAGTATGATTTTTATGAGACAAGTATTTATCAGTGACTGCCAGAATCCTGAGGGAGGTTTGTTTTGCTGTCTTTACTGTTACCTGTCCCAAAAGATTTTGACTTAACAGACAGAGACTATAACCTCACACTTCATACTGTGCTAACAAAATTATCTTTGCCTGCCACCTTCCAGAACAGCACCCTTCTGATAAACCCTCTTAATTTCCCTTAGGAAAGAAGCATTATCTTCAGATTTTGTGTGTGGGTAGGTGGGTGGGGTGGTGGTTGTGGTGGTGGTGGTGGTGTTTTGCGAAGTACTGGAATTTGAGGTACTCATGTTGGCTAGGCAGGTACTCTACCACTGAGCCATGCCTCCAGTCCCAGATTTTTTTTATTGTTGTTACTGAGGCTTGAATTCAGAGTATTTCACTTGTTCTTCTGGCACTTTATCATGTGAACCACACCTCCAGCCTTTTTACTAGTTATTTTTGAGCTGGAGTCTCATGGACTTCGCTGCTGGGGCTAGCTTTTAAATTGTGATCTTTAAGGTTTCAGCCTCCGGAGTAGCTAGGATTACAGGTGTGAGCCACAGGTGTGTGCCTGGGTCCAAATTTATTTTTAAATGGCTTAGGGAAACAAACAAACAACAAAAAAACCCTTCACTGACCTGAGAAGAAAACTAAGAATCCAACTCTACCAACCTCCACCTCTCTAGTGCATCAGCCATGAACTGATCCAAGCACACATAGCCATGTGCCTCCCAGGTTCTAAGAAGGCCCACCACCAAGGGCTACACAGACATAACCCAGACAACTAGTGAAGGACAGTTTTTCCTGACAAAGGTACCATCTGCAGGTGATGCACACAACCTGAGTAGAAGTAGTAGCCTCCAAAATTTG